CTCCTGTAGTCAGTTCTTAACACAGCAGCCAGCCTGTGTCTTAAAAACCACACCATAATGTGGGTCACTCATCTGCTCAAAACCCTTCAGAGGCCTTCAGTGTCACGTCCACCACGTACCCCCACTGCCCCCTTCCCACACAGCTCTCCCTGCGGTTTACTGCAGCCTCATGTGCCTCTTCACGGGCCCCAGGCACAGTCCCTTCTCAAGGCTTTTACACGTGCTTCTCTTTCTTGACCGTTTCCCCGGGTAAGGGAACAGCTTTCCCCCTCAGATCTGCCGGGTCTCCGACTACCCCAACCTTCCTCGACCAGTTCAGTGCGCAGCCCCTCCCCACGTCCAGATCTCCCAGCCTCCCTACCCTGCTATACTCTTCTCCATAGTGCCTCTCCTCACCTCCAAATCTACATTTACTTTACTCTGTCCCTTTGCTAGAAGGTAAAGGCAGGGATTTTGGCCATTTTGGCCACTGCTGCTATATCCAACAGGACTAAAAGTGTGATACTTCAAGTGGGGAAGGAAGTGGGCTGTTGCTGGAAGGGCAGGTAACGTCACCGCGACCCAGTTGATCTTCATATTAGCCAAACAGGGTGAGAATGAAAGGGGCGTGGCTATCAGTTACACTGGAATGAGAAGGCTGCCCGGGGCAATGTGAGGGTTCTGGTCACTACAGGGATACATAAGGAGACCTGTTTATAAGGGAGGGAGAAGGTATGACCTGAGAAGACAGCTTTCTGAGTACAGTACAACATGCTTTCTTCTACCGTGGGCATAAAGTTCAATTTTCATAGGTCATTTTGAGACAGGAAGGAAAGTAAGTGATTGGAAGTCAGAAGACCAGAGTTGCTATCCTGACGAGGAAGTCTGACCTTCCAGAGCCTCTGCAGGGCACTCACACAGGAGTCAGTGTGGAACGCCCAAGTATTTCTCACAGTGCGGTCTCTGGACCCTCCACAGGACGAGCAACAGATTCTGGCTCCTCCCACCACCTAAGTGCCTAAGCCCAATGCAGGAGAGGAGCCTGAGAACCAGCATTTCACACTAACTTCGAAACAGAGATTCAAATAGAACTGACTTCCAAAAGTTCTTGTGAGGATTAAGTGAAAATCAGACAATAATACCTGACACTTTATTAGTGCTCAGCTCATCTTGGCTGTTAACCTGACAGGAATATTGAGAAACTGGCTGAGAAAATAGCCGTGAAAACTGCAAACGGAAAGTGCGGGGCCATGAGAATGTGACTTGCAGACCTCCAATGACAGGAAGCATAAATGACCCATGATGCTTTGCTCTGAAATCGGCCCCTGGGCTCACCCTGAGGTCACACTCCCCCGGATTCAGAGCAGTACTATCCCTGGAGGACTCAGGTCTCTGGCAGCTGACCTTGGCTCAAGGACTCCCTTGGTGACTGCCAAATTTTCTCTGGGCTGCATGGTGGTCCAGGGCTCATCCACTGATGTTTTTTCATGCAGGGACTGTCCGATGGCCCTCTGAGCTCCTGCCCTATTTTCTCTCACATGTTCACTCTTATTTGGGTGTCTACTGCTTGGAGGACACAGAGTAACATAAAAAGTCATCAAGCAGCAAGGAAGTGAGAAAGGATTCTGGGGAGAAAGCTGAGTGTGAAGCACGTGGAATCCATCCCCAACCAAGACAAGTACACTGGCCAGACTTGTCTGCTGTGGCTATTCTGGAGCCCTACAGTGTGTGGAAGACTTGCAGCATTCCAGAGAAGGCTTAGACGGTCAATTGGGGTTCGTTTTGGGAATTTCAGCCCTTGGCTCTACAGCAGCTACTCATCCCCAGAGCAGCCCAACCCTGTGGCAGGCAATTGTGTGCCCATTCCTGGAGCCTTGCGCATACCTTGCGGAGCCAGACTGGGCAATGAGGACCCTGTCCTCCCAATAACAGGGCTCTGTTCTGGCCTTTTATGGCTGCCTCTGACCAAGGAGGCGCAGACACGGAGGCAGTCGCCATTGTTGTACCTGCCCCATCACTGCATCCCTCTCCGCCAGCCAAGGGACTTCCAGGGGCTACACAGGCTTGGTGCCTCCCTCCACCCCATTGGTTTTAGTCTTTTTCTCTCTTCAGGAGCCAGACGTTAGAGACTAGGGAACAATCAAAGGCAACCACATATAAGGAGGAAATTAGAAAGTCACTGCCCATGCCCAAGGAGAGTCACAGGTTCAGATAAAACCTGAAAAGACCTTGAACTTACACCTTAGGCTGATCCTTGGCAGAGAGACAGCCTGGAGCAATGAAAACAATAACAAAAAAATACAACCCTAGGGCAGAAAAGACAATTTGATTTCCAGAGTTACCACATTATATTAGATCAAATGACCAGGGTTTTGTTTTGTTTTTATTTTTGGTAAAATTTTATTAATTTTTTTAGAGGGGAAGGGAGGGAGAAAGAGGGAAAGAAACATCAATGTGCAAGAGAAACATTGATTGGTTGCCTCCTGCACACCTCCAGTTGGGGACCTGGCCCACAACCCAGACATGTGCCCTGACTAGGAATTGAACTCGTGATTTTTTGGTTTGCAGGCCAGTGCTCAACTCACTGAGCCACACCAACCAGGGCCAAAACGACCAGTTTTTAAAAACAAGACTACAGTAACAATAAATATCACAAGATATGCAAAGAAAGACGTGTGGGCCATTCAAACGAACAAATAAATCAGCAGAAACTGTCTCTGAGAAAGACCTGGTAACTGATGCACTAGACAAAGATTTTTAAATAACCCGTCTTAAAGATGTTTATAGCCTGCAACCCAAAGGGTAGCCAGTTCGATTCCCAGTCAGGGCACATGCCTGGGTTGTGGGCCAGGTCCCCAGTAGGAGGCACATGAGAGGCAACCACACATTGATGTTTCTCTCCCTCTGTTTCTCCTTCCCTTTCCCTCTCTAAAAATAAATAATAAAATCTTTAAAAACTATATTAAAAAAAGAAAGACGCTTATAGCCCTGGCTGGTGAAATAAAGATTTTTATTAGTTCAAAGAACTCCTGTATGCCCTTCACTCAGATTGCTTAATTAATATTATACTGCAAATATTTGCCTGGCTGTCTTCATGTGTATCTATGGAGGTTTTTTCTGAGGCCTCATCATCCTCTTACTACTTCAGTGTGTATTTCCTGACACATGAAAACAATACAAAACCACAGTGAACTATCAAGCTCAAACAACGTTGATGTAGGACCAAGTAAACCACAAACACCATGCAAATCTCACCGGTCATCCCAAGAATGGCCGTTCCAGGTCCAGAATCCAGTGCGGGATCACCCACAGCACTCGGTTCTCACTCTCGGGTCTCCTCAGTCGGAAATAGCTTCTCAGTCTTTGTCCTTCGTAACTTGCATGGTTTTGAAGAATCCAGGTTGTTATTTTGTAGAGTAGCCTCAACTCAAATTCTCCTGTCTTGCCCTAAGTAGATTCAGCTTATGTACCTCCAGCAAGAGCATCGTATAAATGAAACTGTTTTTCTTCTTAGTGCATTCTACCGAGGGACGCACAATTTTGACTTGTTCCCGTTCCTGGTGGTGTTAACTCTTATCACCTGATTCAGATGTAGCTGCTGTTGCACCACCGTAAATTGAAGTGGGATAATCTGAAACACTTGGAGGGATTCTTAGCAATTTATGTGTTTCACTTGCGAATGCCCACACAGGGAAGAACAGAGCGAACCCCTAAGTACCGACAGTTACCAGTCTTATAAATAAATACACCTGCCCCCTTTTGTTCCCAGAATAGTTTAGAGCAAAGTCAGCCATTATATTACGTCAGTGTGCACTTCTAACAGATAAGGGTTAAAAAAACAACCCCACCATGGTGTCAGTACCACACAAAATGACCCATACATGTAACACAGAACTAACCATAATTCCTTGCCATCCTCTGACACTCAGTCCATATGCAGATCATCAGGGCCAACAGACAGGGCCCCTGACCTGATACTCCAGGGCCCGGGCTCACGCCCCCTTAGGGGCACACAGGTGTATTCCCCCCCCCACCAATTTCATTCTTGGGGGAGCCATGTTGCAGATAAACACGCAGGTGCTTTAGAATCACAGCCTTTGTCTCCTGCTAATTATCCAGCCTTGAGGCCAGCATAGTCGCCCAGATGACCCACGGACCTGAAAGAGGTTGCTTCAAGAGAGGCCCAAGGGTCAGGTTCCCAAACTTCCAGCCTCCAGCCCTCCTCACTGCTCCCCAGCATCTTCCACTGCCAGCGCCCACTGCACTGTTCGCCGGCATTCCCTGGGTTGCAGGTGGTGAGCTGACCCTTCACTTCTGCAGTCTCTCTGGCTTCCCTCCAGGAGGGACCACACGGAGGCTTGTTCCTGCCTGGCTGGCAGGGCCGCCCCGGCCATGGAGCTAGGCTGTCTCGCAGCCTGTCCCTGGAACCCTCAGTGAGCCACCAGCCCGTTCTATCCCGACATCTTCCTACCATGTCCTATGACTGCGGAACCTGGTTCCTTCTGGTTTCTAACAAGACCCAGAACAAAAGATTAACCCTTGGATATTGGCTTATGAGGAACACTTGCGAAACACTAATGAGCCCTTAACACTTAACCCCTTAAAATTCTGCCCCGTATCCTGGACTGAGAAAGACAGGTTTGATGTCATGCCTGCCGTCTCCTTGCCGGCTGACTGGCAAATAAAGCTCCTTTCTTTTCTCAAAAGCGAGTGCCATACTTTTGGCTTCTTATGTGCATGGGCCTGGCCCCTTGCTCGGTGATGGTCCTAAGCCTCTAGTAGACGCTGGACCTTAGTAGGAGATGACGCACGGTGTCCTGGCAGCCGCTCCATGACCAGACAGCGGGGGCTGCCCAGGCCCCAGCCCGGCGGGGAGGCCGAGCCTCGGGGCCCAGGTCCCACCCCGCTCAGCCGGCACCTGTGACAGGGGCCTTCACCAAGATGCTCAGATCCCAGGTGCTGAATTCGTGGTTAGTCAGGGCTCTCTCAGCTGTGTGTGACAGAAACCAAACTCGGCATTGTTCAGCACAAGGGGTGCATTTATTGGGAGACCGCAGTGCTCTCGCGGGAGAGCCTGTCTCTGGAGAGAGCCCCAAGGAGACAGGGCTCCCTCTCGTCTTTCCCTCCTCCCCTCTCCTTGCAGGCGCCTTTCTCCCTCTGAGACCCCCTCAGAGGGGCAAAGAACGTGGCCCCAACTTCAGGTGCTGCCCACACACTGCGGTCCCACGGAGTTGCCTGCACCCAGAGACGATTCAGTGGGGGTGTCGGGGGCGGAGCCTGGGCCCCAGCTCCCCAGGCGGCTCGAACGTGCGCCCAGAAGCTAGAACCGCTGAGTTTCCGCGCAGGCTCCCGGACAGACTCTTCCATAGTTGTCAGTCGCGATTCGAGGGTCAGGAGTCCAGTAACCCATTTGGGGTCACCCTCCGCCCACCCGTTCCGGCCAGAGGCCGGACGGGCCTCGCGAAGCAGCCGTTCATTCCCAAGGCTGCACGGCTGTGTGGCGGCTGCCCGCCAGGGCGCCACAGGAATCGTCCCACAGGTGCTCCTGCTCCCCGCCCCGCCCCCACGCCCCGCAGTGTCCCGACATCCACTTGTCAAAGCCCACCTCTCAGCGTCAGGCCCAGGGAGAAGGCTGGGTTCTGTCCTTGGGGTTTGCAGCTGGGGGACATGCGGTGGCAGACAGGCGGCGGGGGAAGCCAGGTGGAGGGCACCGGGGAGGCGGGGGCAGGCCTGCTCAGCTCTTTCCCCGTGAGAGAGAGCAGGCAGTGGCCAGAGAGAGACTCAGGGTCCAGGGAGGGCGTTTGGGGGCGGGGGCAGGCCTGAGCCTGAGCGGAAGAACGGGTCAGAGGACTCCCCGCTCTCAGACTAGGGGCTGGTTACCTTAACTGCAAGGCCAAAAGCCCCTCCAGCTCTGACTGCACCTCGGAGTGAGCTGGCGCTCCGGCCGCGGTCTGGGCGACCTCAGGCTCCCTCCCTGGCCTGGTTCTGGGGCAGGGAGGTAGCAGGGCCTCAGCAGACCGGAGAAGAGGACCCGTGGGTGAAGAAAAGGAGCAGCTTTGGGGCGGAGCCGAACCTGGGGCTTCCAACCTTCCTCAGGATGGTCCTAATGCCCGAGAGGCCCAATGTCCTGCCTCCGGGACCTTCTCCACTTAGCGATCCTAGTGTCTCCTCGCCCTGGCCCTGATCCCCAGAACCCAGCTGGAGGGCCTCCCAGGGCTTCTCCCCTCTCCCTCGGAGTGCCCCAAGGGGGACATCCCAGGGGCAGGCTGAGTAACAGGGGTGGGACTGTGTCTGTCTTTAGACCAAGGGCTCCCTGACCTGGGGGCCAGGCCAGGCATCAGGATGGGGCCTCCCATCAAGGAGGTCCTGGTGCCAGCCCAAGGCCAGCCTGGGGAGGTCACGGGGCAGGGGGCAGGAGTCCTGGTCAGCCTCGGCCCTGCTGTACCACCCACCCTGGATCTCTGTCTCCCCATCTTTATGCCCAGCAACCCCAGGGAACAGCTCTGACTTCTCCGGGCCAGCCCCCACCCCGACCTCTCCAGAGGCAGATCAAACGACACCACACGGGGGCTGGACGTTCACTTCTCTTTCCAAAAAAGGGCCACGCACACAGTCTAGGTGTGGCAGGGAGGCAGGGCCAGGCGGGGACTGGGACACTACACACCCAGGGGGGCCTTGGAGGAGGCAGACAATTTAAGAACTGGTCTGAAAGTCAAAAGAGAGGAGAGCCGGTGGTTAGTGGGGTGAGCAGCCGTGGGGGAAGGAGGGGCGGGGGCTGTGGGGTTCAGGCCCAGGCACGGGGACTGGCCAGCGGGGTCAGACGGGCCCTCGCAGCAGCCCTGCCTGGGCCTACTCCCGGGCTGGGTGTGACACGGTCCAGTCTGGCCCAGCCCCCTGTGCGGCTGTCCACGCAGGGCTGGGCATGCTGGGAGAGCTGACCCCTGGACTCAGAGATCGTGGGGCCAAGCCTCCCGGTCTCTCTGAACCTCTTTCCTCATGTGTCATGTGGGGACACATGATCAGTACTGCCCTTTCATGGGGTGGCTGTGAGGAGCCAAGGTCTGTCTTAGTTGCTTTGTCCACAGGGCCCAGCATGGCACTCAAGCTGCCCTTGGGTGAGTAAATAAGCTGTCGGTGAAGGGGGGGCTGGGCTATGGGGGAACACGCAGGTGCCAAAAGACTGTGGACAGGCCCATGCTTGCACCTGGACCTGCGCATGCACCTGTGGGCTAGGTCCTGCCTCTGGCCTCTATCTGAGTGACTGGGTCTCAGAGCGAAGGGTGGATTCCTACGTTGGGGACAAGGTGCTCAGAGCTCCATCTGAGCTCAGGGGACACCCTGTGTCCTCCTGGGCCTGCCCAGGGCACTGCAGGGGCCACGGAGTGCTGGGTAGGAGATTGCTGGCTGGGGCCGGCGGGCTCAGACGTACTCTCGGGCAGCAGCTGAGGGGCCCGGCCGGTAGGGCTGTGGGCTGCTGTTGACTCTCTCGGGCTCCGGGCATGTGCAGCAGAGGAAGGAGCCCCCCAGCAGGGCCAGGCCGGCAGAGGCCCAGCCCACGAACAGAGCCGGGCCAAACTCGTACCTGCAACGGGTAGGGAGGATGCCATCAGGTGTGGCTGCCACCCCGGCTGTCTCAGTCTTCACCGGGGCTCCCCAGCCTTGGCTCTGGCAGGAGGCAGGCAGGGTGTGAGGAGCGAGACAGGAGCCTTCACAAGCCTTAGCAGGCTCTCGGGATCAGTGCTCATCCTTGCTTTGACCCCATTCCAGCAAGGTGATCCTGTGCAACCTCAGGCCCCTTTCCTCAGCCAGCCCTCGCAGGGGGTGAGCAGGAGCCCGCAGGTCCGTCGGGGAGAGCAGTGCAATCCCTGCCATCTCTCGCAGTCACAGTCTGGCCCACAGAAATCCCAGCCAGGGCTCCCCACTGCCCCCTGGAGAAGGGCAGACCCCACTCCACCTGGCACTCCAGGCTCTCCACACCCTGGCTCTGCCAGCCTGCCTGCCTCAGGGGTGCCCTGCGTCTCCCCATGTCTGTGCCTTTGCATGAGGCGCCCCCTCCTGGAGTGTCTCTGTTCTGCACCTCCTGCACTTGGCCCTCAGGGCCCAGCCAAGAAACTACCTCTTGGAGGGGAATTTCCCACACCCCCTCTGTACTCCCCCAGTTGCGCTCTCACTAGGTGGCCATTCAGTTCCCTGCTTGCTTGGCTCCCTGGGGAGGACCTTGAGGACAGACCACACCCAATTTGTTGGTATCCCCAGGGCCCAGCACTGGGATTTAAGCCTAGAGCCCAGGCACTTGGCTCCTGGGGTGCCCTCCACAGGCCTCCTGCTCCTTCAGAGGGCCCAGCCACACCCTGCCTGGTCCCCTGCTCCAGAGAGCTTCTCAGTGACAGCACCTGGGGCTGACCCCTGACTCCCCCTCCATGTACCCTGTGGGATGAAGGCCAGTGGCTCCAGAGGCTGTGGGAAGGGAGGCCCAGCCTGTCCCCTGGCCCAAGCCATGCCTTGGCACTCACCTGGCGTTGACAGGTGTGCTCGGGTTGAAGAACTCCTGAGTCACCAGGGTAGCATACCAGGAGACTGCAGTCAAGGTGCAGAGGCCTAAGGACAGGGCGGGATGCTCAGCTCTGCCCCTACTTGGCCACCAGGGTGGGGTTGGCTACCTGCCATGGCCAGGCTGGTGGAGAAGCAGCCAGGGGCACTCACCCGCCAAGAGGAAGAGGGCGCCCCCGGAGATGGCAATGCGGCTCTTGGCGATGGGGTTGCTGTCTCCGACCCGGGTGCACTTCATGCCGACAACGCTGAGGACCATGGCCACGAAGCCCAGGAGCACGGCCACCACCATCAGGGCTCGAGCTGACTGGATGTGCCCTGGGGGTGGGAGAGACTGAGCAGGTGGTGGGAGAGGTGGGTGGGTGGGTGGGGGGAGCCCAGGATGGGAGGGGCTGGCAGGACCTGGAAGCTCCTCCCAGACTGCCCCCCGGACAGTACGAGGGTCCTGAAACAGGGGTGAGGCCGAGCTTCCCCACTGCTCTCTCATTTGCAAGCTCCTCTAGCTGGCATGTGGTGACGGGGCAGTTTGCATTCTCATCAGCTGTTTTCTGGCTGGGGGTTCCCTTCTGGACCTGTCTTGCCCACCCAAGCAGCAGAGGCAGCTTCTCTCGGGGCTTTTCCAATTCAGCAAGAGGAACTAAGGTTGTCTGAGGCTCCATTCAGCTCAGGTGACCCTTGGGCAAGGATGCCAACCCCCACCGGCCATCCTGATTCTGGTCACCTTCCCCTCTGGCCTGTGAGTCACCATGGCAGTCGTGTGCCTGCTGCTTGAGTCAGCCTGGGCTGGGCTGGGCTGGGCTGGGCTGGGGGGAAGCTCAGGGAGGTGGGTGATCTTCCTGGATTGGTGTGGCAGGGGCAGCGGCTCTGGCCTGTGGGCCAGGGGCTGGGGCGGGGGGCTGGGCCTGGAGCCATGGACAGAGCTGCAGTGGCCCCTGTTTATGAGCCAAACTTCCAGGCTTCATTCCACACCCCAGGAGGGAGAAAAGGAACCTGCGGGCCCGAGCACCTGTGTGAGCACATGTGTGTGTGTGTGTGTGTGTACACATGTGTGCACACACGTGTGTGAGTGCGCCTGCCTGCCAGCATGCCTTTCTAGCTAGTGGGGCCGGCATGTGTGTACATGCATGTCTGCCTGCAGAGCATGAGAAGTGGAGGGGAGGGTTTTCACTGAGCTTCTCCGAGCACCAGGCACTCCTCTCACCCGACCCTCCCATCAGCCTGTGAAAGTCAGAGAGCTCCCTTTACACGTGAAGATACAGGAACGCAGAGAGGATCAGTGGCTGGGATCTGAACCCAAGGCTGCCGGAGCCTGGAGCCCCTGCCCGCCGTGGGGCACCAGCCTGACCTAGATTATCAGATGTGCACAGGGCAGGGGCTGAAGAGTGCAGCCCAGCGCAGAGGGAGGACTGCGTGAAAGCTTGCCTGAGACCTCCCGCTCCCCGCCACCCCCAACTCAGCTGGCAGGGGGCCTACCTTCCAGGGCAAGCAGCGAGTCGTAGAGCTTGCACTGCACCTGCCCGGTGCTCTGGGAGGCGCAGGACATCCAGAGCCCTTCGTAGAGGCCCACGGCGGTGATGATAGCGTCGCCCGCATAGGAGGACTGCTTCCACTGCGGGAGGGCCGTACTGGCGATGATGCCTACCCAGCCACCCATGGCCAGGAAATAGCCCAGGAGCTGGAGGCCCGAGTTGGCCATGGCCCAGTGGAGAGGGCCGGGGGTCCCAGAGCTCAGGGCTGGGCCAGGGTCCCTGGGGGGGTCAGGAGCATGGCCAAGTGAGCCGAGCTGTGGGCAGGGGTGGAGTGCAGCAGTGGCGAGAGGCTGAAAAGGAGAGGTGGCAGCCCAGCCACAGCAGCAGCAAAGGCAGTGACTGGGGCTCTAGAATGCAGGGGGAGGCCTAGGCGCTGGCAGGGCCAGGGGCCCGCCCACTGCAGCGGGCTAAGCCAGGGCAGGTCCCAGCAAAGCTCCTGCTCAGCCCCCTGTGGGTGGGAAGCTGGTGTGGGGCAGGTGGAGGCCACCTCCCCTCCTGCCCCCCAGGGATAGAGAAGGGAGGGACTGGGAGGAAGGACTCTGCTTGCCCCCGTAGGAATCTGGTGCCAGTGCCCTAAATTTCTCCTCATTCCCCCCAAGCACCAACCCTGAGATGACGGACTTTGCTCCCGCGTGGCTGAACTGAGCAGGGGGCTTTCTGTCCTCTCAGCCTGTAGGACAGAGAGGAAATGGAATTCCAATTTGCAGCAGGTAAGACTAGAGTAAGGCATCAGGGAGGACTTTCTGGAGAGGGTTTTGAGGTCAGATATGGAGAGACTGGGCTGGGCAAGGGGCGTTGGTGGTCCTGGGTGCCTGGGGGCCATGTGTATCAAAACCGGGGAGGCCGGACCACGGGATGCGCGCTGTGGGGTCTGAGATCCGAGGCGGGCAGAAGAGGGGCCCCATCAAGGCTGGGCCACACCTGGCTGCCGGTCAGCAAGGGGCCTGGCAGGGAGGTGGGAGACAGCACGGACCTTCTGGCACCAGCCTGAAGGAAGGCAGGCGGTTCAGCCTGTTAATCCCCTTGCTGGCTAGCTTAGCAGCTCCCAGCTCCAGCACAGCCTGGCAGGGAGGGAGCCGTGGCCTCTGCACATTCCTGGGGTTCAGGCTTCGCCCTCCTCGCACCCACCTTCCCCTCTGTCCCCCACCCCAGCTCTGCCCTCTGGAGCCGGGAATATTTAACTCTGCCGGACCTCATTAGCAGTCCCCTCACGTTCTGCTCACCGTGGGTGCAAGGCAATGTCACAACCCGCGCCCACTCCTGCGAGCCCCTCCCGCAGCCGCCCCCTCATCTCCAGGGGCCACCTGCTTTTGTTGGGCTGCACTGGGGGACGTCAGGGTCCCACTGCTGACCACCCCAGCTTCCTCCCCCACAGCCCCAGCACCCCCCCACCACGGGACGCGTCCCCAGCCTGCGCCCTTGCATTCTTCACGTGGCTATGCAAATGAGAGGGTGCCAGGCACTGCTCGGACAATGGCCACCCTGTGTGCCCGCCCCAGGCGTGGGCCCCTGGTATGGCCTGGAGCTCCCATCAGTGGGCGCTGGGGGAGAGGCCAGCCCCCTGAAGGGTCAGGAGTGGGTGCTGTTTGGCCTGCAGTTCTGAACACAGGGCCTCCTGTGGCCCTTCTTGCTGTGAAGTCCAGAGCCCATGGATCTGTGTAGTTGGGAAAGCCTGTGGGCCCCAAAAATCAAACAGAGGGTTCAAACAGTTGTAGAGGTCAGTGCTGAGGTCAGCTTCCTCTGTGTCTCTACCACAAACAGCGCCGAGACAGCAGGATCGAGGGGAGAAAGGACATTGCTAGAGCCAAGAGTGGCCATTCCGGGGGACCCACGGAGCACCTGGGGCAGGTCTTTGAGCTTTAGTATCAAGGCCACACAGACACCAAGTGTCAGAGCCACACAGGCCCTCAGGCCCACGGCTGCAGCCCTCTCCACCGACGACTGTGCGAGCTGAGAGCTGAAGAGGGGGCGAGCAGCTGGCTGTCCGGGACAGAAGTCTCTGGGCTCTGAGGCCTGAGAGGATGTGCCCCAGCCTCCCTCCTGGACGACACCTGGAGCCTCTCACGCTGGGGACGCAGAGACCTTTGTGATCCAGCACGATGCTCGCATCTCGTTCCACAGCCCTTCTGCGTGTCCCTTCTCCGTTGTTTGAGGTTTTGAGTCTCTTCTATCAGAATGTCCTCAGATGGCCTTTCCCTCACCATGTTCCAGAGCCTTTTAGGATTCAGATCCTGCTCCTGGGGTGGAGTCCCCACCTGGCGGAGCTCCTGCACCCAGGGCTCTTGCCGCCCTGGCGCCTCGCCACCCGCCCAGCCCAGTGACTCCCAGGCATGCTGGAGAGCACCCGGCCTTGGTAAGTCCTACCTGGAAACTGCCCCAGGGTGTCACACTTCACTGTTTGAAAAGTGCTTTCACATACCTCACGGGAAGCCCGGGGCTCTGGCCTTACCTCTGCTGCGGAAAGCTGTGTGACATTAGGCAAGACCCTTAGCTTCTCCGGGTCTGGTTCCTTAACTGAGAAGTAGGGCTCACGCCACCGGTCCCGTCTGGTTTGTGATGGTGTTGTGTTCACAGGGGTCAAGTAATGGGGGAGAAGTGCTTTTGGAAAACATAACACGCCTGAAGAAATGAAAGCTCTGTTCCCAAGACTCCTTCCCAGCCGGGTCTCCCCTCTGCGCCCTCTCAGCCCCGGTGGGGGTGGACTGACCGGCGGAAGAGCCACTGCCACCTCGTGCCTGGAGCCCCTGGCAGAGTGGGCGCTGAGGAGACACGCGGTGATCGTGGACTGGTTGGCGTGAGGACTGCATGTTTTTGCCTCCCTCCCAGGGGGACATGGGAGCCCTTTCCCGAGCCGTGCCCCGCTGACCGTCGGGAGGTTCTGACGCGGTTGGTCACCATCCGGCACATTCTCGGCAGCCACCACCTGCCACGCTGGAGGTGGAGCTGGTCTTACGGCCCCCACTCAGTGTGACTGTCCTGCAGAACCGCCTGCAGCTGGGAATGCAGAGGACGTGCCTCCGGCCATGCAGCGAGAAAGCAGTGCGGCCAGCAACGTGGCTACCTGCAGCCGCCCAGCCTGCCCAGGCAGGGTCCGGCGCTCCGAGCCGGGTCCCGGAACGCTCTGCATATTTCCATTTGCGGCCCTTGGGGCGTCGTTTGCCTCCTTCTGAAGGACTGAAGGACTGACGGCTGTAGGCGCCTCACGGCCCTGGACCAGCCCACGTCCACGTCCCACGTCCACGTCTCATGTCTGCGTCTCACATCCATGTCCGTGTTCCATGCCTACATCCCACATCCATGTCTCACATCCGTGTTCCACGTCCCACATCTGCGTCCCACGCCTCCCCCGGCTGATGCCCCTTTCCTCCCCCAGTGACCCTGAGCGCCGGCTCCTCGACGCCCCTGCTGAGAGCCCTGCCAACTGCCTGGGATGCCAGAGACCACGGTCCAGCCCCACGTGCACCAGCTGCCCTCACGCCCTCCTGTGTTCCCGTGCTCCCGTAGGCACTGTCTTTTCACCCAGAACGGTCCCGCCACGGCTGACGCGCCCCCGTGTGTCGAGGGCAGACCTAGCAGTCGCATCTGCACCTGGACTCTGCCAGCACCTCCTGCTTCTGAGGGACCTGCCCACCCTGGTTACACGCACTTCCTGGTCCCCTTGACCTTGGACACACTTGGCCTGTTGGGAGCCCTGCTGAGACAGTCTGCGGTCTCTGTGTGGTTGGCTAGCATGGGTTGGAATGGTAAAGGTCATCTGCCTTGACGTGGAAACTTCTGGAAGCCCAGAACCAGGCAGGTATAGTTTCCTGTGATGTGGAATACCTACTATGCGCTAAGCTTCACACCAGTTGCTGTAAGAGCACCCCCTCATGAATGCTCTTGTGCGTCCAGGGAGGCCAGGACCGTAAGCCCAGGCTCCGGGGGAGGAAACACACTCAGGACCACAACTCCAAGGGGTGTAAGTGAGAGTCACCCTCTCAGCACGTGGGTGAAGCTCATGTTCTTTCCACTCACGCTGTCTACCCTCCGCAGGGCGAGAGAGCCACCCCAACAGACTCGGCATCACCAGTGACGGCAGAGGCAGGGACCGTCCCCAGGGGCTCTTTCCCATGAGCATTCTCACACGGTGTGTTCCCCCGGCTTAAAGCCACACACACTCCTTCTTCTTCACCTCACATCCCCCTCCGCTCACCTCTCTGCCTGAGGGGAGCCCGACCCCTGGGGAGCCCTGTCTGTGCCCGCCGGCACCTCCTACCCCTCCTCACTCCAGCTGCTCCAGCCCGCCTTCAGTCCACGCCCTCCCGCACATTGCCCGCTGACGTTCTCACTAACCTCCATGCTGCCAGACCCCAAAGTGGGATCTCAGTCCCTCCCTGGCTCAAACCCTCGGCAGCATTCGACAGCACTGCTCACTCTCTCTTGCACCCCTCTTGTCACTTCCAGGACTTCCGTCCCTCTTGGGTCCCCTGCTCATGACTCTGTCGGCTCCATGTCCTCTGGCCCCTGACGCCTCCAGCCAGGCTGTCCTCTGGTCCTCCTCTGTCCACACTGACCTCAGTCTCCTGGCTTTGAACGCCATCCAGGTGGTGATGGTGACTCCCGGGGTCATGCGACCTCCACCACTCCCTCAGCTCCTGCCTTATCTGCGTCTGACTCTCTCTTTGGTATTTCCACTTGGATACATAATGGGCTCCTGAAACTTCAGTGTAACATGGGCAAAACCAAACTCCTGGTTTCCGCATCACCACTGCTTGCAGCTGGAGTCGATGCTCCTTTTCGCACGCCATCCAATCCGCCAGCCACTCCTGCCGGCTCTCCAGGAGCAGACCCGGCACCTGCGCTTTCTCACTGCCTGCAGCGCTGACCCGGGTCCGGCCACCTTCGTCTCTCTCCAGCGTCACTGCAGCTGTGCCCCGTCTCCATCCTCGCCCCCACGGCCCTTCCTCCACGGAGGCCTTTCAGACGTAAGCCAGATGCCGTCACCTCTGTGCTGGAGACCCTTCAAGGGCTCCCGTCTCAGAGTCGGAGCCCAAGCACTCATGGTGGCCAACGAGGTGGCTCACAGCTACCCGCTCCTCACCCACTCCGTGCTGCCTCCTGGTTGTTCCCCCTTCCTCAGGGCCTCACGTGCTTTGTTTTCTGTACCAGAGGATTACACAGACACAGACACTGCACACTTCTGCGCTAACACACAGGCTCTGGAGGGCGGGGGCTTGTTTACTGCCACACCTGCAGTGCTGGCCCTGAGCGGGTGCCCGACAAACCCCAGCCGACTGCACAGAGCACGGAGGTTGGGCCCCCAGACTCACTGCCCCGCAGCATCTCAGCCCGGGCGAGGAGAGGGGCTTGTGGCTGGAGCAGCAGAACCTCCAGTTTCACTCTTTCGCTGTCTCCTGGAGGTGTGTGCTGCCCTGCACACGGAGGCCCCAAGGAACGGGGCCCACGGCCAGGCAGCAGACAGGACGCATGTGGCTGACACGGGGCCGATGCCACAGCACTGCTGACCGGCTGCTCCTTGCCAGGGAAGGATTAGCAGTAATCCCACCATTCATCCAGAGTGTTCCAGGTCACGAAGTGCTGTCATATCCGATATTGCATCTGGGCCATACAACTGCTCACACGCTGGGCGGGGCGAGCACTGTGATCCCCATTGCACAGGTGACAGCTGCAAGGCCTCCGGGTTGGGTTCCAGCCTGAGGCTGCCCGGGAAGCAGCAGAGCAGGGGACTAAGCCTCCTTGCACTGCGCCTGCGTCCTGCCCAGAGCAATTTTTTTATCAAGGGAGACCTCTGGGACAGGTGGGCATGTTTCTATTCTCTGAACAAACTACGGAGTAAAAAACACTGATCGTTTATTCTCCGGGTGTCTGCACAGACACTTAAATACTGTGCTGCTGCCTCGCGGCTGCCCGTGTAGGCAACCGGTGGAGGCTCTGAGCCTGCGTCCGAGCCCTCGGCCAGGTCCCCAGGGCAGCAGGCCATCCTGCCATGCCCCTCCACGAGCAGCAGCACCATGCGGACGGCTGTGAGCAGGTCCCCTCGCTGGGCAGCTGATGTAAGTGTCCTGCTGCTTCACAGCCCTCAGGGTCCAGCCAGTCCAGGCCGCAGGACGGAGTCCCCACAGGGGGTCTAACCACCAGTCCGTGGCGCACTAGATGCTGTCAGAGCTCATCCTTGGGCCCTGAGTCGCTGCTGGAGACAGACTCCTCTGCAGGTTGTGGGGGGCCCTGCTGCACTTCCTGGGGTTGCTCCTGGGGAAGGTCCATCTCTTCTGGGCTGAAGAGCATCGTCACCAGGTCGTCTGCCTGCACCCTGTCCTGCAAGGACAGAGCCCCACTCCTCAGAGAGGCCCTCAGACCAGGCACTCACCACCTCTTGGTGCTGTTTCCCGGGGAGCAAGAAGGCTCCTCCTCAGTGGCCTCCAAGTGTGTCTCCTTCCCAACAGGTCCTGCTCTCTGGGCAAAGCCAGCCGAGGAGGCCCACAACCAGGAACCAAGAACCAGGGCCATTCCCTGTCTTGCTCCCCGCCCCTGGAGCCCCATTATAGCAGGGAGGAGGGCCGCTGGGGGTGAGGCAAAGTGACCATGAGGGCACAGTGCTGAAGCGAGGAGTCTCCGGACTCCCAAGCCCCCAAGCCCAGAGCGCCTTTCACATGTGAACCGTCGGCGGGGGCGCCGGGGGAGGCGAAGCAGAGCGGGGCTCCCAGGTCCCAGCAGCGCCAGCTGCTCTTACCCTCTCGCTGTGTCGAGCGTCCAAAGTGAACCACAGGGCAATGGCACAGCGCTGCCCTCTGGTGACGGCCTTCACTCCGTGCGGGTTTTCCGTGCCCGAGGAGAATCCCACGGCCCTTCCGCACTGGGGCTGCACCTCCGCCTGGGGGCACAAAGCGGGACACAGACTGTGACGTGCCTTCAGAAGACGCTTCTGAAGTGTCTTCTTGGGTTCTTAGGGTCCACGATTGAGGACGCAAAGACCAGAGCTGGAGAGTAAAGGCGGTCAGAGCACTGACCAACACACCTCACGGCCCCACTGGTGCGGGGAGCAGAGTGCTGGTCACGAGGAGGGCCGGCTGGCTGTCCGCCCTGCACCTGGAGGGCTTCTGTCCCTCGGAGGTGGGACAAGGACACACTTACCGTTACGGTCTTGGCATCCAGTTCAGTGAAGTAGAAGTTTCCTCCATCGAAGTCCCCATTTAGGTAAAGAATGGCGCTGGGAAAGGCACAGGACATCTCAACACAAACCTTCTCCTCCTCCCACTCCCCACACAGCCCACAGCTCCAGGGCCTTCATCCCCACGTGCCCCAGCCAGCAGCTAGAGGGGGCCTTTCACAGGAAGAAAGCTTTCTAGAACCTTCTCTGAAGCCTCACAAATGACTCCCAACCATCCACCCCTACCCTGTTGCCAGAGAGAAGCCACCATACCCTTCTCCGGGCCATTTCTGCACCAAGTCCACCCTTCACTGCCCTACTCACCACATTACTCTGTACCGATTTCTGGGTTGTCTGCCTTCCTATCCAGAGGAACTGGGGATGGGGACTGGGGATGGGGACTGGGCTCTGGGGACAGCTGCTCCCAAACCCGTGTGTGCTGGGGGGAGTGCAGGGCACCGGGGGGCTCGGAGGGCAAGCTGGCACCTGTAGTCCCGGAAGGTGTAGGCGGGGGGCTCTTTGATGCACACGAGGGCCTCGGCGTTCAGGATGCAGTTGTCCACGTGGACGGGGTGGCTGCTGTCCTTTCTCTCAGCCTGTGCCTCTGGGACCAAGGTAACATGTGTTAGCACAGAGACACCTCAGGAGACACTGCAGCTCTCCCGTCGCCACAGGGGTGGTGCTTCCCACAATGAGGCCGGGTCTGTGGGACGCCCAGGGAACAAGGGGGTCTCGAGCTGAGTTACATCAGCCAGGCGCCAGGACAGAATCACCTGCATGCCCGACACCATCACTGGCAGTCACCGGCCTAAACAAACTCTTGGAAGTAGCTCTCCATAATATGGCTTCTGAGGACCTCACCGCCCTTATCTGATTGCGCTCCCCCTTTAACCTTACCCTCCAGGATAGCAACTTGCTTATTAGCCCCACCAACTACTGGGTCGCTCAGTGCCTCAACTCCTCTGCACATGCTATTCTCTCTGGCTGGAACATAACCCCGTGCACTCCACAACTCCTATTCATCCTGCACAGCAGTCATCACCTCCTCCAGAAAGCCCTCCCGGCTGCCTGGTTGAACAACTATAACTTCCTCCCCCGTACTATCACACTGCGTTGCCACTTGTGGTTTACGTTGCTTCCCCAAGGAGGACGAAAGGGACCGTGTCCCACTCTTCTTCACGTCCTCGATGTCCAGCCAGGGCTCGGGCACAGCACGCGCTCTGCGGAGGCTGCAGGAGCAGGAGGCCCACCTTCGATTGCAGTGCGGCACACCAGGTGGGAGTAGGAGAAGTAGAGGGGCGTGTCCAGGCGGAAGTAGGACTCCATGACGCGCCGCACCTTCTCCGTCACGTTGTAGTACAGGTGGGCGCTCTGCAGAGGAACCTTCCCTTCCTGTCCCAGCTGCCAAGGAGACCAGCGGTTGGCTGCCTTGAATGCCCCTCTGGGGGCCGACAGGGCCGCCTGAGGCCCCAGCCCCGCTCCTATCCCTGTACCGAAGGTGCAGTCTCTGGGTCCCGCACACAGCAGCCCAAGGTATCCCGCTTTCCCGCCCCCTCGCGCGCTCCTTAAGAACAGCGCACGCACGCCACGCAGAGGTGCAGGCCCCTGGCGTCAGCCGCTCTTCAGAAAGCACCCTCACAGCTTTGCACGTTGTTCTTATCGTGCTTGCCTCACTTTATAACTCTCGGTCCAACAGCCAGAACCCCAAAGTTAACCTTAGCTTACAGTAATTCACCCTCCCTCCGTGGCAGCTGGGAAGCGGACAGACAGACATCTTTAACCTTTCTTCCACCGTCCCCAGCTCCTCCCCAGGCCTGGACTCCCCAACCCTCTCCACCCTCCAGAACGCTGAGCACTGACTCTACCTTCAGGGCTTTGAAGACAGTGACGCCATAGAACTTTTCGTTGGGAGTGTGTGGGGAGGTCTGGCCCCGGTAGCCGTCCCCTGAGGTTGCTGCTGCCTGCAAACCCACAGAACCGGTGGAGTTAGCCTGGGGGGCTGACCACCTCTTCTCTCGCCCTCAGCCCAGGAGGCACGGAGTGGGGGGAGGCTAGGGTCTTCAGGAGGAGGTGTGGGCAGCGGGTTTCCCTTACATTGCTCAGTCGCAGCAGCTCCCGGCACTCGTAGTCAGAGATGACGCCATCCATCACCACCCGCTGGGAGCCATTCAACACTTTGGAGTTCATGGCAAGCTGGATGCCTTCGTAGAGCAGCGGGCCACCTGCAAAGCAATGACAAGACCCGGCTCAGTCCAGTGCCATTCTGTCCGGAGACTCTCCATTGGGTACCGCTTCCTTGTGAGGAACAGAAACCCCCGTGGTTTCCTGTTCACCAGAGACACCTCCCACTCGGTCGCCTCCACAGGCAGCGTGGCCCAAAGGACAGAGCCTGATGCTGAAGACAGGTGATCCAGGTCCTAGTTCAAGCTGCGCTCCCAAACAGCTTCTGGCTCTCTGGCCCTCCACAGCCCCACAACAGAGCTCCGTGGCCCAAAGGACTGGGTTTGACTCCTGCAGGAATGAGCTGTGTGACGCTGGCAAGTTACTTAACCTCCCTGAGCCTTAATTTTCTCATCTGTACACGTGCATCTACCCCTAAGGACTGGGGGCACGGTGGGGGGGTGGTCGGATCAGAGCCCACGGTGAAAGGGACCAGCAGGGAAGATAAGATCTGGACCCCACGCAGGAGGGCGAGGTCAGCCGGGAAGAGGAAGGACACGGGCAGACAGGAGGTGCTGGGGCCCGAGCAGGCCTGAGGCAATGGGAAAACAAGACGGCTACGGTGAGAGCAGAAGCGAACCTGTAATCGGAAGGCCTCCCTTGAGGACCGGAGGGGATGGCCACGGCTGGTGGGGGGGGGGGGGCAGGGGCAGGAACCAAAGGAGGCGTGAAGATTTTGAGGCTCCATGACAGGACGAGCAGTGGACGTTGGGGGAAAACAGCCTGGAAGCAGGGAGGCAGGATGGGTCTGTCCTACAAACATGTCCCAAACCCATGCTACCGCGACACAAGAGTCTAACTTCTTTAACAAAAGCCAATTCTCAGTGCTCTTTCTAGGTGAAGTCCTGTGGGTGAGTCAGGAGGGACAACGAGGCGAGACTGAGCCCTGACCCACGCCGGCTCGGACCCTGAGGCTGCCCACGGTGGTGCTGCCAGGGTGCCTCCCGGCTGGCGCGGGCTGGGCCGACCTGCCTCACTGCTGCCAGGACGCTCTCACCTTCCCGCATCAGCCGGCTCACATCCAGCGACTCCTTGGTCTTCTCTTCCACGAGGGTCTCAATCTCCTTCATCAGGTTTCCGATCTCCTGGGAGATGCGGACGGCTGTTTCCCGCTCTGACCTGTGAGCACAGCCGCTCTGAGGACTGCGTTCTGGGGCTGGTCCTGGCTCCCACCCAGCTTCCCAGACTGGACCTGCCCGCCCCTTGCCGGAGGTCGCATCTGCCTGGGCTCAGGAAGCCTCAGTGCGTCACCAGACAGATCCAAGCATGCAGTTTCTTCAAGACCCTCACTTCTGTTTCTCTTGTAATCTCTTGGGGATCACCTCTTCTGG